AAATGTTAAGATGACTTTGGTTTTTTTCGCGAAGTAATTCAACCAGAACTGAGTTGTGAAAAAGGCGGTAAAATGAAATTACATTATCGTACTTACTAAGTTAATATTACTTTACGATTTCAAGTGATACACTTCAATATAATAATTCGACATTAAAACCTCAGAATATTTATAGTATTTGTCAAAGAATATTGAAGTAGTTTTGACGCCCTACTTTAAATTTCGTCATGCAAGCAAAATGCAAAACGCCCACGTTGGCGCCTTCCTGTAGTAGAATAGCTGTATCCAAATATCTTTTTCGAAACTTTAAAATACTCGAAACGACTATAGATATTTAAATGTATCCTTTTAGATTCAAGTATTGGGTTATGATACAGACTGGTATGAATTGTGAAGAAAGAATTGTTTATGGATACATGTAATATTTTTTGATTCAAGTCGGTCCTCGGTTGTCAGCTGGTGATAAGATTCAAAACAAACGAAAGCCTGCACAGCAGCTTTCTTTATGATAATATATATTTTTTAAAGTCGACCTAAAGCCTAAATTGATCAGGTTATGAAAGCATTTCATGAAACAGATATTTTCAGGATTTTGAATTATTGCTCTAATTTAGAGAAAAGAAACTTTGCCGGGTCCATTTTATTTGTCATTGTCATATTCTATAATATATAATATACCGATGGTAAGTTCTTAAAAGTTATCAAAATATATCAAAATCCGAAAAATACCTATCAAGACTATTTCATAATTTACAAAATAAAAGTTTATTTTTGTCGCGGAGAATTTCCAGTTTTTCTTCGTCTTTTTCCTCGCTTTCTACTTTTTCCCATTTTTTCCTTTGAATGAAAAACCAAACTTTGAACTACGTGTTCGACAACACGGCACGATTTGGCCAAATGCTATTAAACATTAATGACAGCTTGATCGTTCGTTTTCAGCTCATTAACATTTTTTTCAAGAAATTCAAATTTAACGCCAAATTGAACGAGAATTATTAGAAAAGTGATAGCAAAACTTGATATTCGGTAGTTTGTGATGCAAGAAAAGATGGAGAAAACATCTAATATCGGATCACTTAGCATTCAAATTTAGAATAAGCCTGAAAAAAGACGATTATTTTCACTGGAATACCAATAAATAAAAGCGGGCAATTAACACCAGCCAACTAGTGTCTTGACCTAATTACCCGGGGGGGTGGGGGGGATAGGGATGAGCCGCTGAGCCCTCTGAACCCTGACCCTGTTCCAGAGTAAAATCGCTGAAAACCATACCCTGTTTGGCGGCACGTACCCCGTATAGCCCCCCCGGCCTAATTAGGGCTAAAACCTAAAGGAATGAACGTTTCACTGAGCTTTTTAGTGTTAAATGCTACGATGGACATCCGTTATAAACAGATATAATTAATGTACTAGGCATAAAAAGGTTCAATGAACTATTGTTAGCATTCTGAATTCTAATCAGCCATGTTTGTTGACATCATGGTGCAGCTGCTGGTGTGTAGCTTTCCGTAAAGATAGAACTTAAATTTTTAAGGTTGCTGCCTACCATAGAAAAATGAATCTAATGTGCACACTATAATGCAATACGCTATCTTGAGCCTTATACGATGTGCGCGCGAACTTTAAAAGCGCAAATTTCTCAATTTTTTATTTACGACTCTATAACTGATTTTTTTTTTTTTTTTTTTTTTCGAATTTCCAAAGATTACATGAAAAAAATTGAAAAAACTATGTGGGATTTACTCAAAAAGGGTTAATAGACAATAATTGTCAAGTTCAAGACGAATAAAAAAATTAATTTTGACTAAGATTTCTCAACATTTTCCAAATGTTTTGACTTTCAGTGTTCGTAAAGTATAATATAGGATTCCTGGGGGGGGGGGGGGGGGGGGGGGGAACGTCTAAAGCTTGATTACTGGTGCTGATCTTTTCGTATAAAATTCTTTTTCTTCGAACTTTTTTTTATACGCTCGTGTTTACAGCGCTTCCCGCACAATTTTCTGTCTCAACAAAATAAGATTTTGGTGGACGCCAATCAAAGTGTTTCCATGACATTGTCGGAAAATGATATACAAAGTTTTTTACTGAAGAGCACTTGCCTTGGAATGGACCTTTATCACATGAGCAATGAAAACTTTTGCATTCCTCATTAACTGATTTATTTTCAAGGACTTGAATGGGTTGACTCTATTGTTCTAACCAAAATGGCTGCCGCGCGAAAAATTGTGAAAACGCCTTGATTTACGTGCCCCAAAACCAAGTTTGTCGCCATAGCAAATCGTGCGATTTCTCTTTTGGGATACTAAAAAAGTGCTTCACATTTCGGAAGAAAATCTGTTTTCGTAACCTTTTAAGGATTTGTGTCATTTTTCTATATTTCGTAGCTAATGTTTAGAAATTCCTCGTCATTTCATGAAATTGCTCTTCGAAATCGGCAAATCTTGATCTGTGTATTTTAAAAACTTACGAGAGGCAGACTCGAGGAGGTAGTTCACCGGTGTAATAAACCACAGGTTTTTGGATGGATTCAGCCAATCACCGCGTGCGTTAGAATTTAGCTATATTATAATCGGGTATAAATGCACTCGGACGACTGCTTTTTATACCTGATAAAAGACTGTCCCGTTAGCCTTAAAACGGCTCAAGTTTAGTAGTTAGGCGTAGTTTAGTCGATGGCCAAGGTCCCTTTAGACTCGCGACCTGGTGGATCTTATTTGAAAACCGAAAGCTTCCTTTTCGTAGGACGAGGTTGTCGCAGCTCTGGTATCAGTTCTAATTGTATCTCATTGTATTACAGTATTTTGGATTATGGAAAAATCTATCGATACAGTCGAGATGTTGGAAATATGTCTCAAATAATTTGGAAATATGTTGGAAATATGTTGGAAGAATAGTTCCCAGTTCCTTGTGCCATCTTGAAAGGTAGCCGTGCCTTCGCATCGAAGCGAAACGTACCCTGAACTTGCAATGATAGAGGCCTTTTTGAACACCTTGGACAAAATCATTCACATGCTTTTCTCTTTCGGGGTCGCGATGGGAGAGATCATAACTTCGAAACCTAACTTTCAACCTAAGGATTCTCAATGGATTCAAAGCGCAATACAACAGGATTAGGAATCCCCAAGTACGAAGAATCCTGATACTAGCCTCCTTTGCAGTCGTTCTTAGTGTCGGTCTGAACTGAACGCTTCCCTCCAAGAGTTTTGGACCGACACTAAGAACTGCTGCAAAGGAGACTATAGGGATACAGCTTATCAATCATTAATCCCTAGTATTAATATAAAGTATAAAGGTGAAAGAGAAAATGTGTGCCCTGAGTGGGACTTGCAGAACTAGACTAGAATACCGAGGTCGTGATATATTATTTGATTAAAGGGTCGAAAAGTTCTTGTACTTGGACTCTATTATAGTATTTCTATATAGTATATATATAGTATTGCTATATTTCAATGAACCTTATTATTGCATACTTGTAAATATGTAACATTAAGATTAATTGAAATATAAAAATACTGATATACATAAATATATACAAAGGAACATAGCTTTCGAATGTTATTGATACCCTTAAAGTCAGGGTAGGGCTAATTCACAGATCGAATTGGAAATGATTAACGTGTTAGACTATTTCGCGGGAAGAGGCCAAAAGGAGCCTTTGCTAGCATTAATCGCATCCTCATATTCCATCGGAATGGAAGAAAAAAGAAACTTAATGACAACGTAAATGACGACTGGATACGAGCTTAGTCTGCTCTACCTACATGCGAGCCTGGAAATCGAACCCGGCGAGCTCCAGAGGTGAGAGGCGAGTGCACTATCCCTATGCGACGCTTGTTTCCCTACTGATATCACGTGATTAAAGAAAAAAATCGCATACACCAATCATATAATTCTTGTAAGCATCATTTGTTCAAGTGCAAAACCAACTTACCGCTTATTTCAATCAAGAGAATATTCTCTTGTTTCAATCAAATATGCACACAAAAAACCCTCAACTTTTCTTGAATTTCATTCAATGGTTCAAACATGTTACAATTCCTTATATATATAGACTTTATGACATTCCTTTGGTGTCTGGCATGTTATAACGCGATATTTATAATTGATAAATTCGAAACCAATTTCTCGAGATAAACATTTCAATATACCTTGATTAACATTTCCGAGGCATTGCAAATTGTATGTGTCTGGCTTAAACATCAAGATTACTTTTAAAAAATTTATGATCGTAACAACATGCACCATAAACTCTTTCCATGTTTCCTCAATTTCCAGCAGATTTTCATACATTTTCTTAGATAGCCACAGTTTTTTGTTTTGTTTTACGTGCTTTTCAGCTGCACAAAAGAGTAGTCGGTTGTGTGAATCGATTTCGCTATAACAAAAACAACCTGTTATAAAAAATTAATAAAGAATAGCATCCCCATTCCGTCAAATACACAAATAAAGGAAAACCACTATATCACTAATAATAATATACCGTAAATACTTACTTTGTTTTCGTCATAAAACTGTCATAGATCGTTGATCATTGATCGACGTAGAGTCTGACAAAATCATTACGATTAATGGACATTCTTAATTATCATACAGCATGACATCTTTCAAACTTTCAAGGTATCTTGAAAGTAAACCAATCCTCAGTTAAAGATCAATCTTGTTGCCAGTAATAATCGAGGTCTTGGGATCTCCAGCCAGCTAGAAGAGAATGCTATTCAAGATATTGTATATGATTTGCAGCTAATGAATAAGTAATAGTTTATGTTCTTGCTAATTTCTAATCTTATTCAAAATCATTCTGATGGCAAATGATAGCTTTTATCGCCTCTCAAAGCTTGAGCCTAATGAATACGAGTTTTACTCGCTTTCTGCTATTGGATCGCGTTGATCATTGGAGGGATTCTTAATAAAAGAGTAAGGCGTGTATAATTAATAGTAAGAGAAATGATTAAGAGACTCTACTTAAGCAAAATATCACATATCATACATAGGTTTGCGTTTGGAGTTACCCAGCTCTAAACAGCGACATGATTTCTCGTTGGAATGGCAATTCTTGCAGAGATCTTCCGGTCATGGATAAAGTGGAGCTTTCGAGAAAACTTAGCTCTGAATTGATGCCAAATTCCGCTCCTCTGGATCATAAATCGCGATCAAAATCGGTAAGAGAGGGCTTTTTGTGTTGAGCTATAAATCTAGACTAAGCCGGTATACCTATACATATGTATATATATATATATATATATATATTGACCCGAGACTGAACAAGGCCGAGCAGGCCTACGCGGACCCGTTCATGGCGAACTGCTCAAGGCTGGTATACATACAGGTGATCACAAAACTGGAAGCCAATGTGTTTTTTTAAATGAAAAAGTGACAATGCGATCTAAAAACAGATAAATAGAAGAACAAAAAGGAAAAGAGAAAGAAAAAAGAAAAGGTCTTCCTACCCCTAAGTGAGAAGCATTATTTGATTTCGACTGAAAGGCTCATTTTTTGTGTGCTAGACTTTGGTGGTCTCGGAGAAGAAAAAAATCAATATCAATTTAATCCAACGAGGTTCACTGAGATCATATAGATCTTTCTTGCGGGTTTTTTCATATTTACATAATCAATTCTAATCAGTTAGCTATCAATGTCTTATTAAGCTGTCTTTTATACTCCTCTCACAAACTTTTGCTATAGTATCGGCTATATTTAACAATTATTCTGACAGATACTGCCTGACTTCAGATTTCTTATTTATCGAAAACAAAATCGTCAGTGAAATAAAAATTGTTATGAACCAAAACTCATAGTTTTTACCCTTTTTCTTCAAAGCTATTTTTCGTGCTGTTTTTAGCTAAGCAATCTGTAAAAATTATATTCATGATTTCGAGTTCTCGATGGGTGTCCTTGACACCCAAGTAACTAAAGCGCAGAATTGATGTATTCATATTAGTTGAAGCAGCGGAAATATTCAATGTACTTGATCAGAATTAGAGAAAATATATAAGTCAAATTTGTTGGGATAGACAACCAGTGGAAAGTGGATCCGAAGTGAAGAGGATTTCCTTGAGTGGTAGAAATGATTCTTCATCTGAGACCATTGAACATCCAGAGAATTTCCTACACGAAGCCCGTGCTGATTTAAACTAAGTTCTAGCAGATTCTATTGCAGATTCAATAGCCGGTCAGCTTTGGTGAGTAGCGTGACTGAACAACTAAGCCTGCCAGTGAGGAAAGATTTTAAAAGCGACTCGCAGTTTTTGATTTGAATTTTTTCGCAAAAGAACAATGATCTTCGAATGGCTTGGGCTGGCAGGTCAAATCCTTGGCAAGTAAAAAAGGTTTCGAGTCAATTGAACGAAAAGTTCTTTTCCAACATGCTGACATACTGATAATTCAGACAAAATATTATTAGATAAAAAATTTCGGCGGGACAGAAAATAACAAGCAAAACATTTCTGTGAAAACAGCTGTCAGCATTTTGCTAAAAAGTCAGTGAATTTAGGTTATTTTTCTATGGTTGAGGCATTCCATAAAATATTTTTTATCAAACTGACATACAGCATGATGACGTGTAATGATTATGAATTTATTCAACTGTAAAGGACAGTCAGTTGTTCATATGTCTATGGTAACCGATTCAGTTTAAACGGTTAGTTCTGTGCCCAATAATAACCTGGGAATCTAGCAGATGTATCTAGTTATTTGGATGAATGAAGAGATTTCGTAAAGATGAATCGCAGGCAAGTGTCCAAGAAACGAAATTGTACTTAATCTAACATTAGGGCAAACATCCCACTACCAGTAAGTTTATACCTTTCAATTTTATGTATTTATTAATTTCTTCATTTTCTTGCAAACTAAAGGTACAAATGTACAGTAGTGTTTGAATAATTTTATGATTTAGTATCGCAACTGAGTTCAAACAAATAGAAACATGTAAACGTGATAAACATGTGAACGTTTTCTAGAGGGTAATCGTCTTCACGACTAAAAATGACGGTCATTATTTTGAAAATTCTCGATTGTGCTTGTATTAAGTGATCCTGAGTGTGATATCTCATCTAAAACTTCCAAATTAAACGCGAAATTCGAGAGAATAAGATAAAGGTCTTTGAATCAGAATTTGAATATCGTGGCACCAAATGCAAAAGAAGTCTCCTAAATGTTGAGCGAATGTAGTTCCGAAATTACACCCCAATATCGTTGGAAAGGAAAAACACACTGTTTAACAAGATAAATAACGTCATCTGAAAACATTATCTGGAGATTTCATTGAGAAGAAAACTTAGGGAAATGATCTTTAGAACTTGAATTGGTCAAAGTTGATGATGTTGCAATTGCATGACAAAGTATCATCACAAACATGAACTCAAGTGCGTTTATCGTTAGATTAGATTAGTTGAGCAAGTTAAACAACAGTAAGGATACCTAGTTAAACTGTAGCCCTAATTTCTATGCGTTAAGCTAGACTTTTCGACATGCCAGTCAAATACGAGGGTTATTTATATCGTGGCCGGGTTATTAGTTTAAATCTAGATCACCTTGACAACGTTTTGTCGAATATACTATGTGATATGTCGAAATCTATTATTGCAGGATAAGGATGATTATTTTGTGTGAAGTTAACTTAAAAACTGAATAGGAAAAGCGGCAAAGAGTCGACTATCGTTTCTTAGGAGTCGATATATTGTTTTCGACGTAAAACTGGCATGGTTTTCTATCGCAAATCCGTCCCGATTGTAGAGGTGAGAAGCTAATACCGTGTACAATTGTCCTTCGTCTTCTGCCTCTCCTGATGATGCAATTAATTCTCGTTCAGGGAAAAATGAGCAAAATATATGGTTTACAAGTTAAAAAAGGATTTAATTTTATCGCGTTGTAATAGCTTTCAGACCAAAGGTAGCCGAAGAGTCTAAACTTAATTGAATGAGAAATATCGCCTTCTTCAAAAATTTAAGAGCAATCAATTAGAATTTCACTCAAATCAGTCAGTATCCCGCGATGGTCGGGCTCAAGGTGAAGAACAGACAGGCGCTACGTGTGAAGATCAGTCACAAATCCGGTCAAATTACCTTGAAAAATAGAAATCTAACTTTTAGTTTGAATGCCACTTTTTGAAAACACAGGATAGCTAATTAAAACGATCATCACGATGAAGTGAATCGGAGGAATTTCTATATTTTACCACCGTCAAATCGTCTTTGCAAAAAAATGTGTATGTATTTATTGGTTACAAATATTTTTCTCCATTTTTCTTTAATCGTCATTTTTTAAGATTTATTTTTATCTTGTTAAGGTTTGATTTTTTTATTAGAAGCCTTCTTAGTTATTTACTATACTGTTACTATAGCTTTTATTTTGGATTTTGGAGGTTTAATGGCCTGCAACAGATAGTCTGAAAGTTTTTGAGAAAAAAAAGAAAGAGGAAAGCGTACCATCAGTTTTTCGCGAGAAATGAGCGTTCGCTCAAGTGCTATATATAACAGTAACTGAGAGGGGCTACCTTTTTAAGGTTACAGGCGTCGATTATACATATATATCTTGCTATTGAAAGTCAGTCAGTTCTTTATGACGTTATTAATATTGCATTTAAAAGTGGAAACTCGACTGAGAAGAGAATCCGAAAGCAAAACCTATATTCGGCTGTCGGTAAACCTATTCAATGTCAGACTTACCCGGCAGCGAATCGTAAAAACGGCTTTTTTAACAACTTTCATAGATAGAAGTACAACTGTTGGAAGAATAAAAAACTTGAGAAGAATTAAGCTAGGAGTAAAGCACCATGCCCAATGAAGAACCGCGGGAGGGCTAGAGTGATGATAATTGAATGATGTTTTTCCTCCTGAAAATGGAATTTTGAGTGAAAAAAAAAAAAAAAAAAAAAAAACTATGACTGTCCAAATGGAACACAGCAGAGTTGGGAAAACCTCGTACCCCATAATTTATTTGGGATATATATTTACATGGAGTAAAAAAAGAATGTCGGAAATGCTGATGTAATTATCGTAAGACAAAAGATGAGTTAGGAATAGATAAAATCTTAGGGTAGTACCTTTCGATCGAATTTAAATTAACTCTCTACTCAGCAGCACTATTAGGTGACCGTCGGTAATCATGAGAATATCTAAATCCAAGTACTTAGTTAACGAATGAATTAAACTCCAATTCATACACAATATCAAGGGCGGATCCAGCCAAAATTTTAGCCCTCCTCCCCCCCCGCTCCCCTGGATCCGCCCTTGAATATAAACACTTATTACGTGAAATGGCAGTACTATTTATAGTAATAAAAGGGAAAAATGTAGACAAAATGAACTTTTTATCTTTGAGAGAACAAAGTGATGCAATATAAGCGCTGCATAGGATCTCTCATAGACTAACTTTACATACATAAACATACTTTTCTCAAAAAGGGATGAAATAATTTGTCATACAATAATAAAAAATTCAAAATAAAAGGTTTGTTCAAATTTTTATTTTCGATACAACAAAACTAACAATAGATCAACATGAAAGAAAGAATGAATGAATAAATGAATGAATGGGCGAATAAAAAAAAGTGAAGTAGAGAGACTAGACAGACCGAAAGAGATGTTGAATTTAATATTATTAATCGTGATGATCTGCCAAACGAGTTATCAAACAGAAAACAACTTTTGTGGACCAATTAAGCTAGGACGAGGTGCATGTTCTTTAGTGTTACTACATAACATTTTCAGTACTAAGCAGATGAATGGGTTCCAAGTTCTCACCGGTGTTTGTCAATATGTTTCCATAGAAACCAAATAAAGGTGCCAGATGGTGACAAACTAAGAGTTGAAACTAACATATTTTCAGGATATGTTTACGATTCATAATTTATAATATTCATTCCTAGATGACAGCAAGTGTACGAAGCTGACATACGAATCGTAAGGGCTGTTATAATCGAGAAATAGTACCGAGCCAGGATAAATCTGAATTTTTAAACTTCTATATTTGAAATTTAAACTTTTGAATAAGACAAAAAGATATAAATATGTCTTGATTGATAAAATTTCACTATGGAAATGCTAGGTATCAAGATATGTATGAGCTAGTGTTGATGACAACTTCTTTTGGTGAAAGTGGAACCCGCTTTTTAAACCAGACTAGCAGGTATTAGAATTGTGGCATGACAGACCGATCTATACAGGCTTAACACTGCAGTTTTTAAGAGATTTTTGCTTGTTTACACAGATGGGAAAAGTTGTTCTTTAATGTGAAGCAATTAGGAAAATATCGTAGTTTGTATATGTTGTATATGAGTAATTTGGACGTAGTGTTCTGAGTTGAATTGTTTCAAATGAATAGACAGTATGCTAATAAAAACCATTTATCATAACTGTTGGCCAATCGACCTGTAGTCCATCCATTAATTATTAAGTAAAAGACACAGAAGTAAAAACACAAGTTAAGCTACTCCAAAAAGATCTATCTACGTGTTCTACATCTTATGATGTTGCATTAAAGTCAGTTTTGATGCCGACTTTGTGACTCTTCTAGGTCATGTTTTCCTGTTCTCTGCCTGTCTGCTCAAGTGACAGAAAGGATGCAAGAAAACAGAAAGAAAAAGAAAGGAAAAAATCCCTATCGAAAGGAAGGGATCGTTATACGATCGTTAAGGGACTGGCTGGAGGGCCGGACGGGGTATCCTTCGAAAGCGTTACAAAAAAGAAACATTTTCTACGAGTCAGAGAAAACAATATACTGATTGTAGAACCATACGATGACTCAGAAGAATACCGTAAGTACTTACCTTTTTATTTTACATTTAGCTTTTATTTGTTTAACTTCAGTTTCTCTCATTATATCTTACAATATCTAGAGTATTTGTTAACTTATAGCTCCTAATTTTAAGCCATTAGTAGCGGAAGCATCTTAAACAGATTGGATTAACGTACTTTTTTGTTACATTTATCTGTGCAAATCCATGAAGTGTGCCTAAATCATGAGTATTCAGTTCTATCATGACTTTAGCGCTATCTAAATATTAGATTAATTCAATAATATTTATCGAACTTCTTGAATAACAAAATGTTGATTTTTGTCTTTTAAAGTGTAAGCGCCATGCCTAGAACATATTCTTGTGTTTAAGCTTTTTCATTTTATGTGATACAAAGGAGATTTTACGCAGTCCAGAAATTTTTGCGTGGTGGAATCGCCTGTGCTGAAGGAGCCTATGTAGTTAACGAGTTTGAATATTAAAGCATTTATCAAACTTTAGGTTGTTTTTATTTATTATCAGTTTCAAAAGCTTTTCAACAGAATTTAGTCTTCGTTCACTCGTTTCTCAACCAATTTCAGCATCCCTAAAGTCAACTATGTCCAAGACATTCTCTTTTATTTAAATTATAATTCAGTTTCTTTCTGTCCTTTAGTAATACATTATTTAAATCGATAGAGCCCTAAAACTGGCTCCCGCTGCAAAATAAGAACTAATACGAGCACTTAATTCAGCATATCATGGCGAAAAAGCTTAAATTAGCTGAACTATGTTTAAGTTATGTCCTTAGTTTAAAACTAATCATATTTCAATCAAGGTAAAGGGATTTGTGGCCCACTTTGTGGTTCCTGATTAAGAATTCATTGCAATGAAATGTTTATTTTCCAATTTTACCTGCTTTTCAACAACAATACAAGTCAGTGTTTGTTTTCTGCGAATACCCCGGCGGCAAAGCTGATGTTGAATGGGGAAAAAAAGCAACCAAACTTCAGTCAAGGGTTTATGATGACCATTTTCAAAAGAGTATGATGAAATAACTCTAAGTTGGCCCGCGACGCTACGAAACAAGGAAAATATAATACAAAATTAACATGAAAAAAATTTAAATGTCAGCCCTGTAAAAAGTTTATATTTGACATTTTTGGTTTTACAAAATCGTTTCAACAATTCATTTTTTTCTATATTTGCTGTGGAGGCGAAGGTGGTCCGAAAAGTGTAAAGTTTTGATGCAAAAAATCCTACGCCTGGAAATCCCACATAATCTCGAAAACCTTCTAAGCGGTTTCTTTCACATGGCTATCTCATATTCTATTCAGTCTTGTTGTGTTTGAAGATTTGTTCTTTCCTGTATCATAAAAATAAGATTAACAAATACCACATATTTTAACCTTTTTTGGTACTAGGTATTTTATTTAAAAACTCATAATTTAAGTCGAGAAATGGTTGAATGATGAATTAACAGCACATTTGTAAAGAACTCCACTGAAGATAAAGAATTATAAGCAGATATGAATAGCAATTTTAACTAGTAATTCAAACAAAATTATATTGCCTATAATATTCAGACCTCATCTTTTTACAGACATGGTTCTGTTTTCTATGCAACGATAAAACTGTATTTTGAACTTCGCTCTACGCCCATCTTAAGTGTGGTTCACAAAATAATATCAAAGCACTATTTACTACTTGTATAGTATATATTTTCATCTATCTATCTGTCAGTTCGGTTTGTTTTTGTGGTAATCATTTCTCTCGTGTTTTACCAAATTCTCAAGACTAGGAAGCAATAAAGCTAATAGTGGTATTGGCGGTAAAATCGTTGACCAGACGCGTCTTCAATTGAAATCGTGTCAAATGGCGCGAAAAAGCCCGGGCGAAAAAGCTTATATTTGCTTCTAAAACTAATTGTTTTGAACATTTTCTTGATTGATTCTTCTTTGTTTCATTTTCATGGCAGGAAAGCAGAGCACTTACATTCCACTTCAGGACATGTGGTATTTTGGGTATATAGTTTTCGAATCACTAGTCGAGCCAGCTCATTTTATTCGTCGCTGTTCTGATCAACTCGTACTACAAAAATACGAAAATACACCCTTCTTCAAAGAAGACGCAAGCTTCAAACTGACAAGAAAAAGATGTATTGGTAATAACAGTAGAACCATAAGTTCTTTAATAGTATAGGAAATTGGAATACCAAACACCACTCTTTATTTATTATTTATATAACAGCGTGTGAATCTAAAAAAACTTGAACTGAAATTAAATGAAATGTTACTAGTATTACATAAGGGAGACGAATCGGCGTCGAGCCAGACAGCCTTTTTTTTAAATTAATTTTTTCTGTTGGTTATTTCACATTTAGCAAACAACCCCCCATGTGGTCAAGTATTTTAATCTAGAAAACAACTTGGTTGTTCGCAATTTAAAAAATACCTATAATAATCGTTCATTTTGTTCACAGCATGTGTAAAGATTGGATCTCGAGTTTGGGCAAGAATCGAGAAAGGTTGTTTTCTACGAGGTACTGTGATTGCAGTAGATGATTTGGTTCATATAGAACTCGAAAACGGAAACAGAGTGAAGCACAAGAAAATTACGACGGAAGGTGACTGTGCGTACGTGCCTGACATCGTGCCTCATTCTTTAGAGATTGATATTGGTACAAGAGTATTAGCAAGATGGTTTAACAGGCATGACAGCTACTACCCTGCTACTGTCACAGCTATCAGGAGAAACCTCTTCAGCGTTAGATATGATGACGGTGACAAAGGAACTAATAATATCAACGAAATACGAATTCTTAAACAACCGGAAGTAGAAGGTAAAGTTTTGCAAGTTGATCGTAAACACCCAAACTGGACTGAGCAAAGCATTTGGGTAGATATGAATCGGGATTACATTACATTACCATATCTATTCTATTATTTTTGATTTTATTATTATCAAATTGAAAAAGAAAAATGAAAAAGTATAGGAATAAAAGCTTGAGTAGCTAAATTGTTTAGGTCACCCATCCAGGTACTAATTACGATGGATCGGGCTTAACTCACTAACTTGGAAGCCCAACTTTTTTCCACCGCGAGCAACGGTTTCAAGAAATTAGTCGTGAAAAAATGCACCAGATAGATTAACGTGCGTTGCATACACCCTTCTCATAATGGCTGATGAACGCACGGAGACGAGGTCACCCAGTCATCTTGCAAGGTTGAGCCAAGCTGCTCATTCAAAATAAAGGCTGTTAGCGCTAATTCAGGTCAAAACAAAGGTCATTTTTAAAATATTTTTCTTCTTTAAAGTCATTTCATGTAATTTTATATCTTTTATTGTGAAATAATGACTGGGTGACCTCGTATTCGTGCACTTGTCAGCCGTTATGAGAAGGGTGTAGAGTGCAAGAGATAGGTGGACATTGGCATTGTAATGTAAATGTGCCAACCATTTTAATAATAGTATTGACAACATAACATTCGACCAAAACAAATTCTTCATCGTACGCCTACCTATTAGGTACGGTCTGGCCGGTCTGGTCTAGTGTCTCTGGCCTGATGCCCTAGGCCATTGGATATATATACATATATCGGGTAATTAGCAGAGTGGAATAATTTTTTGAAATTTCGATCGGTGGAAATTTCTTTCTTTTATCAAAACACCAAGCCATGGATTGCAGCCATGTTGATGGTACTAATTGCTACTTTAATATGTGTAAATATAAACAACATGGCCTCAATAGCATAATACTTGAAGTTAGCGCCTTGAGCCTCTGCCGAGCTGTTCTTGACACCCTACGTTTTGGTTTTCATACAGGTGGCGCCAACTTACCGTCTTGGTCGTCCCTAGATGGATTGCCAAGAGTTGGTGGGTTGTGTATCGATAGCACAAGTAGTGATCAAAGCACAACAGAAGAAACTATTGATAGCCAAGAAACTCCACAACACGAGGACTGGTCTCCATATCCTAGGGACATGTCCATCCCTGAACAGAGACTATATGAAAACCAAAGCGAACTACCACGAGAACTGGATAGGGACGCTGATTTTGGCTACGAAAATAATCTACAGTATCTGACGCCGAATATTCAACCACTCTATCACGCACCTGTCATAAGGAACGTTAGTCAGGTTAGCGGTGGTTCTGCGGACAGCGGTTATCACGACAACGCATGCACAGGAAGTACACGCCAGAGGAGGACTGGACTATGGGCCGATTTACATTGTAAGTGATGACTCGCATTCAAAGGAATTCAGAATACAGTTGTTTTCTCATGCGGCTACCCTTTTTTTCTCTTGTAGATTTTTAAAGTAGCAGTTCGTTGATTTCTCTTTTGACTTAAATTGTATTAGTTCCTAATACTAATAATTTATCAATAGCTATAAGAAGACAATTTTTAGCATTTTTTTTCCAACTCCGCCGGTGGAGCCAAGTGATTCCCTGTCAAAATCGTTTTTGGGTCATCGTAGCTTTTCTTTTTGTACGAATTTGGTATTGAAAAGTAAAAATATTACCTAGTCCATGTATACTATCGGAAATTGTTTATTAGTATTACTATAAGTACTTGGTGTTTTAAAAAAAGGTTGCAGTGTTGTGTGCGGTTATTCACTGTCAACCTCTGGCATAGTGACTTCCCTTGCATGCGTTACTTAAACAGTCGTGAGTAAATTAATCATAAAATAACAATATATTAATATAATTAACGATACTTCTAGAATATAGAAAGATCAATGTTTTTTTGTTGTTTTTTTTTTTTTTGTGTGTTTTTTTTTTTGACAACGACTGAACGACAATTTAAAAAAACGACAAACTTATCAATTAATCGACAAACAAATGATGAAAACGATAGCTCAACTAAAGATATTGATAACTACGATGATTAATCCATGACGCCGTCCGTTAACAACCAAACTAACGACACCAACCACTAATGAATCTAACAATCCGTATAGAACAAAACAGACCTAACAATCTAACCTATACTCAATTCAATCGCCGGCCTTTCACAATCTTTTTCGTATCCGAAAGTGGAATCAATGAATACAAGTACTTAGAAATCTACGCACCTGACTAAATGGATATCTATTTATGTTACTTGCTTCTTACGTTCGCCCTTTTTTTCTCGAATTTCAAATAAGCTGCACTATATTTCGTTTGCTATTATAAAAACCCTGACATTTTCGTAATCTTAGGTTTTTAAGGTATCTAGCTAGACATATGTGTTATCACTTGTGAAATGTTACTTTGCAATACGGTCACTCACTTTGCTTCTGTCAACTTGCTCCTTTATCTTTTCTCACTTCTTCTTTTCTCCTTCTCTTTCCTCAGCCAAAGAGAAGGGGTGCGGCGGACAGTTCGGCTTTGACTCGCGCTATCTCTCTCCCTTCTCGTGTCACTCTAATTTTACCTCCTCTGGGGAACGAAAACTAAGCAATCTGAGCGTCTCATCAAGTGTAGACTCTGGCTATCAGGGGGGGTACAGCAGACATGACCCACGCTCCTATCTTAGAGACACTACTAAGACATCTAGCCCTACGTGTAAGTGATACGCATAATTTCTCTGCGCAATACATTAGTTGAATGAGCCAGTTGATGTTATGATATGTTGAGTGATTTGTCATGCAAAGTAGTTAGACAAAAGACTTGATCCATGAAGAACTCTGAATCCTGTTGCTAAAAAGAAATTTCCTCATGCCACAATAATGAGGCATAACACAATACTTCCCACTAAAGCTTGCTTCAAACTTCAATTCTAATCTTTCATCGCGCCTAACTCTCAAGACATTTTAAGCCACTCTGCATTAACGAACACGCAAAGATTTTTTTTCTTCACTCGAGCTGCCACAATGCAATTTTGTTCCAAAATAAGTAGCTACATTAGGCGGATAATGGCAAGTTCTATTCTTTATTCTTCCCCTTCTTAACACATCAAACACAGCATCCGTGGAAGGGCAGTTTACGTATACGTCTTGACTGTCAAGTGTATTATAAAGAATGTATGACGGACCTTACTTAAACAAAAGACTCCAAGACTCAGAACTTCTTTTGTTTGAGAATCTCCGTGAGTTTCTATTAAAACCTCTTGCACATAATTCGCATCTTGGATGGGATATGAAGTACGTAACTGATCTGAGAACGAGACTGTTAAATAAACGAAATGAGCATGCGCACTGTTGCATCTTTCATCATCAAATTTGTTACTATCTCATCTAAGTCTCTGTTCATTTTGTTCTTCATCAAACCGCGATGGGTGACAAAATTAACAATAAACCAAAAAGACATTTTTTATCTGACTGGCTAAACAAACTCGCTTTCGTCCTTGGGGCCAACATTTTTATGACGTAGTGTAAAAAGAACGTGGACTCACAGAACGAGACAAAAATCTCATTCACACTACTTAATGTTATAACACGCATGCGCATGCTCTAATTACAAAACGTAGATATTTTACATGCTTTTCTTACTGTTTTTATTTTTGTATCAGTTGAAAACGCGCTGTCCATGTCCGAACTTGTTATTTCTTGGTCTCCATCGAAAAGAAGCGTATTTTATTCTATCGTGATGCAGTTTAACGTCCAGAAAATCTACTTATGACCAGGACTTGACCGGCAAAGAAATGCTGTTGTTTTTGGTGGAGATCAGACCATATATTAAACTATTTTGCGCATGGAAATAAAGACTTTTTACATACAGCTTTTTTAAAAAGATTGAAGGGGAGAACGGCGAATGGCGACCGAGAGGAACTCAAATGTGAGTATTCAAATAATCAAGGTGTTTTAAATGGTTTGGTTGAGTACAAACAAAACTAAATATCTCAACAGTAACCTCTAATTTTTTGATAAGAATAATAACAAGAAACACCAGTCATTCCAGCTATTCTTGGATCTTGGAATGTCCTATCACCTATCACTTATTACCTATCGCCGTTCGCCCCTTCAACCTTCTCTTCGAATAGCTGTATGGATAACAAGAGAATCTACTGGATAACGTTGGAATTTAACTTCTCTAGGTCAAAGAAGAGCAACCCCCGCCGGCAACAATTCTGAAAAATACTCCTGGGAACACGAAGATAACGATCCCCTGTCAGACAACGAAACGAGTAACTCTACAAACTACTCCGCAACAAATGAACTCGATTTCCCCGACAGTTTCTCCAAGGAGAACCACTCCAGCTTCGCCCCGTCTCATACCAAAGATCACGCAACTGGTATCGCAGGTCACGCAAAGAGTAACGGAGGGCCTAACGTCACAAGACCAACAAAATCCTACGGAAACGAACTTGTTAACAATTACTCCTCGACCAATGGTTCCTACGTCACCCAAAATGGCGAGAGCAATGATGACTCCAGAGCCAGTGAAACCAAAAATTATGAAATGTTCGCCCAAAATGCAGAAGAAGGTGACAGAAGCGCTGTCCCCAAAGCTGTGCCATCGAAATACTGTCCTATCCATCACCACGGATTCAAAACAGATCAACTTCAAAGCGACTCAGGCAGAAGAAAACATCATGAGTTTAACAACGATGCAATACTAGAAGGGGAATGTGGCCCGAGGTTGATCGGTAAGAAAACACATATTCCCTTTTACAAGAACAAACTTAGTTAAACATAAAATCATTCTTGATTTTGGTTATCTATATTAGTGGTACGTAAAGAAATAATACTCAAGGGAATGGCACGTAGTTTGGACACAATCTAACCGTAGCGGTCAACAATGAATATAATGACAATATGATCATAACAATATTTATTTTAATAGAATAATGATCAATTAAAAGAAAAGATTTTGGATCGCAAGGTATTATGGGTAGCCAAAGGGGCAAGACAAAACCGCGAAGATGGTGAAATAACGAATTAATGATCTTTGAGAACTTGGCTCAGTTGTGGAACTGTCCATTTTTTAAAAAAAWTATCTGTTATCAAGTTGTCTTGTTGTGAACTGTTAATGTCAATCTACGCCATTACTATAACAAAGCTTCATATATTTGCCCCGGGATGACCCATAATGCCTTTCGGTTCAAGATGGCCGCTGCATCGTCGAAACAGTCTATTATACATGAACTTGCTAATTCAGTATTCTTGTGTTTAACAGGACTGGAAACTGTTATCTAAACTGAATTGTCTACTTTCAAGAACAATTCTATGCAAAAGAACCCAGGAGGTGAAGGTGTGACAAACAAGGCTGCTGCGTCACGCACACGCATGACAACGGCTTCCTACCAATACCACGTGAAGCATGTAGCTGCTCTCTCTCTACACTTCCATCTCCTTTGATACAAGCAAGGACAATTTAGAGTCGCAAAAATATTTTCCTTTTTGAAAGTTTAAAGAAATACAAGTCAAGTATGTTGCTGCGTTGTTCCAAGATGACAGAGCTTTTTGACCCAAGATTCCATGCGAGTCAATGCCCTGGCGGTTATTCTCTGAACTTTAAAAGCAGACAAAGCTTTTTGGTCACAGTGTCATTGGTTAGTACGATTACAGGATGATATATTATATAACTAGCACTCGTCGTTGGTTAGTCGATCGGTAAAATACTAAAATGAAGAGAAAAATAGRCACATTTCAAAAGGCAAAAAACAAATTTAAGTAACATTTTGAATATAATTTGATACGTCTAGTGCATCAAATATTATATATTTAGTACCAACAGTTTCATATTCAAGTAAAAGATGAGCCTGAGTAGATTTCATTGCACGTACATATTAGCCATTGAGGAAAAGTCTGGATCCAGTTGGATTTGCAGTGCATTGTGGCACTGTTTTAGAAAACATGTTTCCAAGATGGCGTCTATCTTGTCCCAAAATGCGCTGCACACCCTACTCGACCCAGTCTTTTACTCAACCTCGGAATTGCCACTCAGGTGCAGTTGAAATGAGACGGATTTTGTATGAGATACAAGAATAAGGCATACTTTTAGCCGTACGACATTCCTGGATATTTTCCTAAGATCGGGCTGCACACAGGTTAATACACCCAAACATAGATGYAAGCACGTTTAAATTTGTAACATTACGATGTTATGGTTACTCAATACYATGACTCGGTAGTGAGTCGTTCCTATTCAGTGTTTTTTTATTTTTCACAAAAATGAAAATAGGTGAAACTAAAAAACACTGAAGCATTTTATCAACGAGGAAGTTGACTTCTCGGTGTAAGAGGTACAGGAGAAGGAATGGTTTATAATTTATCCTGTTTCCTGAATTCGTGGCTTTGTTTAAAATCATGGTATCGTAATGGGATATCCATTTRTTGAAGAGATTTATTTGGGAAAACTTCACTGTTTCTTTTTTGCTTTACGAGATCCTGTTACATGAATCCACATACGTCAGTCCGAGGGCAGTTTGAAGGTAACGAGGAAGCAGCAGTGCATTTCGGTATTATTGTTGTGCATTATTTTGCTTGCTTGATGTCCTCGATCAACCCTACAGTTGCACTTCAATATTAAGTTATTAAAGTCGGTTTGCAAGCAAAGAAACGCGTATACGACTTCTTTTTTTTGATATTAGGAAGAAAATATCAGTTCCTTGAACCGGCTTAAGGTCTTTTTTATTTACTAAAGTACTACTAAAGTTAACTGTTAATCACACTGTAATGAACTCGGAGAGTCTGAGAGTCTGTAAAAGTTATTTCTCTTATTAATCTAGCAAGATACTTTACAAGTTGTTAATCTTGTGCTATCGGGTCGCGTGACTGGTTCCTACCATAATTTAGGTTGACAAAACCGGCAATKTATACTGTCACCTACACTCTTACAAACATATCCCCAACAACACTGCATCAACACCAGTGTCGTTAAAAATGGCGCGAAAAAGATCACGTGATCCGTTAGTCAATTAACCAATCATCCGTATTTATTTCATAGAATTTAGTTTTTTTGGSAGTTATTTATTTTAGAGATATATACTTTATGGCTTAGCTGGCTAAGCCTTTTCAATGAATTTATTAAATTTTAATTAACAATAATGACAGAAATATTATGATATAATAAAGCGCACGGTTAGAACAGGAATAGAATCTTATTCAAGATATAAGCTATGTAAAACTATCAACTGTAAGGCAGTTCAATATTCTAAAATAAACTGAAACTAAATATTAAAACGTGTGTATCATTTGAATTTAAATTTGAATTTGAATTTGTTTTCAATTTGTGGGTTCTGACAAGAACGCTGTTATGGCGTCCGCTGTTGTTAATCGTCTATGCGGGAAGCAAATTTTTTATTTGTGGTTGTCAAACTCATGACTAGCTTCATGATAAGCTTAGCAAACTGTATGGACTACTTCGACAATAAAGCGGCCATCTTCGAACACAAGGCGTTTATGAGGCGTCCAGGGGGCAAAGCAAAATGTTTGCCTTCAATTCATGGGTAAAGGTGTTCGATGTGCCGTCTTTAGCTGTAATCACGACAGGCGATATAAAGAAACTTTGAAAATGTAGCATCAAACCTCACATCAGCTGTATATTTGTCCCCTGGACGCCCCATGACGCCTTGTTATTCTAGATGGCCGCCGTATATTCTAGTAATCTATTCCTTTATAATGACAGAAGTGAATCAGAGTGCGAACTACACTAAAGCAGCAATACCGGGGATTTAAGGCACATTTAACAGCAAGAATGCACGGGTATACAGGGAATAAAAATACCCSATACTTTAACATGAGAGATGAGCCGGTAAGCCGTTTGGGATGGGCCCGGGTCTTTCACAACTTCCAAGTCGCGTAAAAAATGAGCCAGCTCAACTAGAAACCGTGGACAGCTGTTTCGGCCTGTATTGGGCCTCGTCAGCACGGTGTATCTAGTGAGCTGGTAGAATCCCAAGAAAAAGTTCTCTAAAACATATCAAAGAATGAAGTCTATAACATTCATTATTAATTTTAAGTTGTTATTTTCTTGGTCTGTGACGTCACGTGCAAACGAAGAATATGAATAAAACGCCGTCTCAAACAAATGCCGTCTCAAACCGCCATTAAATGTAATTAAATGTCGAGGGATAATAGACCAATAGAAAAGCTTGTAAGAATGATTATAACGTCATCTTAACAAACTCATCACCGTTTACGGTAGGTCAGCCAACTAGCCTGCGTAGCGGCCCAAAGGGAAGRRAAGGGAAGGGGACTGGGGAYTGAGGAGAGGAAGGGGAGGGGGACTGGGGAGAGAAAGGAAGGAGAGGGAGGGCCTGCAATGAACCCCCTCTATTTTTCCTACCAACTTTCAGAATTCGAACTTTAATTTTGATTGGTTGACTCAWAGAAACAGAAATAAACATGACTTTACCTGTCACTTTTCCTGTCGATCACTTCCACTGAAATTGAAGAAGAAATCTCCAATTTGAATATTTCAAAGGCAAMAGGTCCTTTCAGCATACCAACCAGGTTACTAAAGTTACTTWAAAATGTTTTGGCAAAGCCTCTTGAGATCTTGTTTAATGCATCGTTTTCAGCTGGTATAGTACCAGACTTTCTTAAGTCAGCTAGTGTTATACCAGTTCATAAGAAAGGCTCACACCTTTCCCTCAACAATTATCGACCAATATCATTACTTTCTGTATTYAATCGACTCCTGGAAARACTTATGTACAACAGGTYATTAAAATTCTTAGACAAAAATGAAATTCTTTYCAGCAAACAGTTTGGATTCCGTGCAAAGCATTCAACKGATCATGCTATTCTTAGCATTGTTGATAAAATTCMAAAAGMAGTTGATGAGCAWGACWTTTCCTGTGGAATCTTTCTGGATTTTAGTAAAGCCTTTGATACGGTTGACCACAGAATTTTAATTAGCAAATTAGAACGCTATGGTGTAAGAGGAGTGGCTAAAAGCTGGTTCACATCTTATCTTAGTAATCGTAATCAAACTACTGTTGTTAATAATGTTACTTCAAACCCACTGGATATAACATGYGGAGTGCCTCAAGGATCTGTCCTTGGTCCTTTRCTTTTCCTACTCTATATAAATGATTTTCACCTTTGCTCCAATCTCTTTGAATTCCATCTGTTTGCTGATGATGCTAACCTTTTTTATAGACATAGAGACATCAAAACATTAGAATCTCATATTAACTCAGAAATTAGTAATGTTCACATTTGGAACTGTGCCAATAAATTATCACTCAACATAGAAAAATCCAACTTTGTYCTTTTCYATGCACCCCAAAGAAAAATCACACACCATTTCCATCTAACCATTAATAACAATTCTATTAAGCAAACAAATTGCATTAAATATTTAGGAATTTACATTGACTCAAATCTAGGTTGGAAACCACAAGTAGAATATATTGCCAAAAAAATCAAACGCAGTATTGGTCTATTATCAAAACTTCGTTACTATGTGAATTCAAGGATTTTGAATAATTTGTATTATGCTTTAATTTATTCTTTCTTAATSTATGGTATAATAGCATGGGGAAATACCTATCAAACTACATTAAAACCTTTATATTTATTACAAAAGAAAGTTGTGCGTATTATTACATTTTCTTCATTTGATGAGCATTCAAGCCCTATATTTAAACAATTAACTTTCATTAAAATCTTTGATCTTGTAATTTTCAAAATATCAACTTTCATGTACAAATTTAATAACAAGTTATTACCCTGTACCTTTGAATCATTTTTTACTACTATTKATAAGGTGCATGGATATAACACAAGAGCAGCAACAAAAAAGTCTTTTTATTTACCCAAGGCTAGAACTAATTATGGAATATTTAACATACGATTTCAAGGACCTAAAATCTGGAATTCTATTGATGAATCATTTAAGAAATTGTCTACAGTTATCGTAGAATGATAAGTTATACACCGTAGTGAAAATAGTAAYTGACGTTTCGGACGTTAGTCCTTCGTCGGAGTCAATAGAAAGTAAGAGTAAGAGAGATGTTTATATAGTAGAGGAGAGAGAAAACAAACTAATAAGAAAAAAGCAAGCCATTTAACAAAGGAAAACAAAAGGATCGAAAACAACAATAGGTGGGAAATAACTTAATTATAAGCGAAGCGTTCGTTCATCCCGTGGGGATTAACGGTGCCAAGTGAATGAATTAAGCGCATTTCTTTTGTTTTACGATGATTGTTACAGCAGTGGGTTAAACACAGACCAAAAACAATAGCATTAAGCTCAGAGTGATTAGCAGAGTTAAAGTGCCGAGCAACTGGTTTAGATAAATCTTTCTTGCGAATGTCGTAAAGGTGGTCTCTAAAACGATCACCTAATCGGCGGCCAGTTTCTCCAACATAGAGCATGTTACAGCGTG